GCCAAGGTTGCCTCGTTATTTCCGGAACCGCTAATGACAGGCTGCCTAGCAGCTCCACTGCAGAGCGGTAACTTAGCCCCGCACCTGAATGTTTACTGCCCCCACAGCGAATGCTTTGGCAAGCTCAGAGCCCACCGTGACACGGCTGATGAAATTCCAGACAGGGTCAGTTTCTCGTCACTTTCGGATTCATCTGGACTTTCTGCAAAGGGGTCACCATGATCAAATTCTGCCCTGACAGTTGCATTGTAAGCCAATCGGTTTTCTCAGTTGCAGGCTGAGGGCTGGGTCAGTGGCTGGGATTTTTCTTTCCATCCGTTTCCAAAGTCTTGGATCTAAGGGATCGGAGCTGGGCAAGACAGATGGGGCTGTTACGTCTTTCTGGGTGCAGGGAGCAAGTGGGCACGGGAGGTGTGAATAGCATTGTAGGTGAAGGAAACAAAAGAAATCTCTCCACCTCTTCCAAGAGCAGGATCACTATTTAAAGGTGCAGGAAACGGAAAACAAAAGCATAAAAGCTTCAGAGCTTCAGAGCTTCAGAGCAAAAGTTACCAGACACTGAGGGTATGTCTACACTGCCACCCTAGTTCGAACTAGTGTAGACATACCCTGAGTCTTAATGTAGATCTGGGGTTCCCCTGCATGCTAATCATGGGCTGGAATCTAATCTCCGTTACACTGGAGAATCTGGAGTGACTCTGGTGTGAATCTGGAGTGACTCTAGTATGAATCTGGAGTGACTCCACTGATTTTCAGTGTAGCGGCTCCAGATTTAGACCGTCTTCAGTGAAGGCAGATCTGGGCCTGTTAATTACAGTTCCCTATGCAGCCCCTTGTATCAGCTGGTAGGACGCTCCTCCACAAACCCAGCCCCCATCTGAGACCAGGCAGCCCCGAACTGAGTGGGGAGGGGGCCGAGCGTGTGGTGATCACAGCTCGGCATCTCTGGAAATGCCCCCTCCCCCCTCCTCACCCTTTCGAACCGCCCTCCCCCTACTCGGAGCTGGCCCCGGGAACCCAGCTCCGGCTCAGGCTGGCGGGAGGAGGTGGGGGGTGGGTCGTGCTCAGTGTTGAAGCCAAAAAGCTCCCGGGGCCGCGCAGGTCAGCTCCTGCCCAGGGCGGGGGCTTTCCTAAGGGCCCAAAGCTCCCCAGTGTAACTGGCATGTCCCCTGCAAAGGGGGAGCGGCTCCCCCCAGGGCTGGCCTGACCCACGCAGGTCTCCCCGAGCAATTCCCCCTCCCGCTTATTCCAGAGGCGCCTGCTGCGTGGCTGAGCCCAGCGACTCCTGCTCCGCTGTCGCTCCCCGAGTCCTGCTCCGGGAACCTTTTCTGGGTCGGCGGCCGCGGAAAACCCCCTCCCTGACATGGCCCCGGCCTGAGAAGGAGAAAGACCCTTTCCCCATTCCCCTCACACACCAGCGCCTGGGGGGCCCGGGCTGGTAGATTCTGTGTGCTCCAGCCCCACAGGGGCACCAGCATGGGCTCCCCAGTGGTGGAGGGAAGCCCTGAACCCCGGGAGCTGGATCCAGGCAAGCTGGGGGCCACATCCGGCCCCTAGGTTCCCCGCCCCACCTTAGGCAGATACAGCCCTGCGCTGGCCCAGAGTCCAAGGCCTTTACGGCTCCCTTCAGGCTGCTCCAGCCCCCCAGCATGTTAGGGCCACTGGGAGCCTGGAGGCTCGCTCCAGCCCCCGAGCAGCCTAGAACCAGGGAGGCGGTGTGGACGTCTGTGAAGCCGTCTTTTACTTCCCGCCAGGGGCCTGCCAGGCGCGGCCCAGGGTCTGGCTGAGGGGCCGTGGGTCCCACACTTCCGTGGGCGCTTGCAGCCCCTCCCCGCCCCCCGTTGATAACCGGGCCGGCGCTGCTCCGTGACACAGGCCTAGAGCGATGCTGCGTCTGCCCCCAGGGTGGGATTCAGGCCGGTGGATGGCCGCGGCGCGGTCTCTCCCGGGGGTTAACCAGGAGAGGCCCCAGCCGCCAGGGGGGGGAGCGAAGGGCTTGGGAAGCATCTGGGGGCAACGGCACTTGAACTCTGGTTTTTTCCATTGCCGCATGGGCACAGGGCAGCGGGGCGACTGCCCGGGAGGCAGGGAGGGAAGGAGGGCCCCTGGCCTCGAACTCGCCGAGAGGGGAGCCGGCGAGCCCCAGCCCTACAGGAGAGTTGTTCCCGTTTCCCGAGCAGGGACGTGCTTCCTTCCCTGCTGGTGCCTGAGCCCAGCAACCCCCCCGGGGACTGTCGGGGTGTGAGAAGGGTGTTTGGCAGGACTGGGGTGGGGGGTGGGAAGGGAGAGCTGGCTGGGACTGTCCTGCATTTTTCTGGCCTTCTCTGTGCCAGGATCTGAAATCGCTTAGTAAAAGGCTCATCCGTGAACCGCTGCCGCTACTTCCCCTCCTCCCGACAGTACGGGGCACGTGGGTCTTGAGATGGGGAAACTGAGGCACGGGGCGGGAAGTCAGCGTCCAAGCTGGGCACGGAGGGCTCCCCATCTGTGGCTTTCAATGCTGGAGAATGCGGAGGAGCAGCTCTGTTCTGCTGAGCTGGGGCCGGGAGCCAGGGGGAGATTCAGGCACCCCAAAGCCGGGGGAGAGGAGCAGGCCAGGGGGGTGAGCAGACACATGCCACCCTGTGCCCTGGTCTCCCTGCCCCGGCAGAGATGTTGCAGCCTCCAGACTCACAGCTCTGCAGCCTGCGGGGGAGAGGGTGGGGACGGGACCTTCCTGTGCTTGCTGGTCAGGGATGGCCGGTTTCTCTTCTGTCTGCTCTTGGTTTATGGCAGGTTATAACCTCTCCGCCTGGTTGCGCTGTGCTGGGAAGTGGGGGGGGGGGAGCAAGGAGCAAGTCCTGCCCCCTCTACCCACCCCCTCCCTGGGGTGGCTGAAGGCCATTGGCTGGAATCCGGGGTCTGCACAGGTGTTTGGCACCTGGCCCCAGGGCCTGTCCAGACAGCCGGCTCGGGGTGTGGGATGCAGGGAGGGGATCTCTGCTCGGCCAGGGGAGGGGTGGGGTGGGAGAGAGAACTCCCCCAGCACTTTTCATCCCCCCCTTCTTTG